GGTTAAGTTGTATTTACAACACTGTTCCAGAACAGTTTAACCCAAATATTCAGATGTGTCCAGCGCAGTTTATGGAGGACTGTTTCCTGATCCTGGGAGAGTAGACTACAATGCCGGTTGTTCTGACTCACAGACTGTAAGTAAATTTTTTTATATTTGTACGAAAGCCTGTCCTAGGAACCAAAGTTGTTGCAGTAACACGATCAACGTCCAGAAACGTATCAAGGAGATGGAGGTAAAATAATCCATGTGACATCAGGGGTTCAACCGTAATTTTACGAAGCTACGAGAATACTTTTTGTACGCGAAGAAAACAAAAATAACGACTTTATTCAAAAAATCGTCTCCTCCGCATCACCGTAGCTCCATTTTGTATCCACTGAACGCTAGTGATTTTACGTTCAACACCGAAGCTTCGAAGCTTGTATAAAAAAAAAAAACAACACATTTCACACTGAAGCACTGTATCGGAGCTTGGTTCGTTTTGAGAAAAGCATGTGATCTATGACATCCGAAGCTTCATTCGCCTAAAAAAAACACGTGACTGCTTCAGTGTCTGGTTCGAAAGGAAGCGAACCTCAGCACCGTTTCCTTTACATTATATTACATTATAATGTGTTAGCATTGTTTTTTTTTTTTTTACCGTAATTTTTATATTGAGCTCAAAAATTTACTTTGGCCGTGAAATAGCAGCCTAGGGACTGAGGCAGAGTTAAAATAAACAGATCATAGATTTAATTTATGAATTTATGTTTTATTTATTTTACTTATTTTTAGTGCCAGTACACCGACACAAATGAATGACTTAGACAATAACCATTATTCACAGCATAAACCGTTTTAAAAAGCTTCGAGTAATGAACCTTTTTCCGATACAATTGTGTTGAAAGCTTCGCTGATTCAGAACGCTTCACTTCGCCATCACTACTGAACGCAAACAGCGTATGCTGTTCTGTGTCAGACGCACCACACGGATACGTTCCCTTTCGAACGGTCTCTCCCGTTGCGTGAGACGGCGACGCTAAGGGGAAAACTCCTGTTTTACTCTGTACTGAAGCCTGATTTGTTCATGTTTGTGTAGCTGCACAAACCAATGGCGCTTTAGCCCACCAGAAAGGGCGTAGCCGACCCTTATATAAGTCGGCTCAGAGCGCCATTCATCAGATCATTCTCTTTCAGCGACGAGGATCATCTCTTCGCTGACTCTGGACAAAGCCAAGAAGAAGCTCCAGCTCTGCTCGTCGCCGTTGAAGACGCCCAAGCAGCGAGGATTTCCTGCGGCCATCCGGCATGTGAAGAGCAAGCCAGAGAGCGAATTTCCTAAAGAGCAAATTTCAGCCTGCGTTGTTGCAAATGTCACGTCGCGAGTGTGGCTCATGCAAGGATCCCTTGCATGAGACGGACGGGCACAGTGAGTGTGTCGCATGTCTCGGCAGTGCCCATGCAGAGGCTGCGATCACTGAAGGCTCAGGGCCATTGCGAGAGTATGAGTCTTTCCTGTCTCCGCTCGCGGATTGCCTTTTTTCACGAAGGCAGTCCCCCTCACTCAGCTCTACCGTTTCCTTTCTCTCCTAAGAGAAAGAAACAGCAGAGCAGCGGGTCCTTCTCAGCGGGTTTGAGCAGTGTCACATCTGCTCAGCGCCCCGTGCTCCGCCCTCCCCGTGTGCTCTCGTCTCGCCGGTGGGTTTCACACAAGAATACTAGCGCCCCTCTTCAGCTGCAAGCGGCTTGGTCTCTTTCGGCGCATATGAAGAGGACATCATCATCGAGGATGTTATCGCCGACAACTCCATGTCCTTGGCAGCATCTGATGCAGAAGAGTGGGGAGATTCCGGCGGAGAGCCAGAAGTCCTTCCCCCTTCTCAAACTCTGAGGCCGAAACCGGACGCCAAACTCATCCGCATCCTGTCGAAGGCGGTAGAGGATCTGGGCCTTGAGTGGTCGGCTCCGGAAAAGCCGCCCCCACGGCCTGTTAGACAAGTGGTACCTGCCGGGAAGCCGTCAACAGTCCTCTCGCCAAGTAAATCCCTCTACAGCAGCGGCTCTCACCACTGTTGATGGCGCTGACGAAAAGGGATACAACAAGCTCCCCCCTCTGGAGGAAGTAGTTGCTGCTCATCTGTGCCCGCCATCTGCCCTCGGATTAAAGGCCCACGCAGCGCATCCCTCTAAGCCCTGCAGGACCACCTCGGCGCTCGCCAACAGGGCTTATGCAGCGGCCGGCCAGGCAGGGTCGGCGCTGCATACAATGGCGGTTCTCCAAGTGTTTCAAGCCAAGCTTCTCCGCAGTATGGACGAGTCTGGCCAAGAACACCAGGAGGCTTTCAAAGAGCTGCGCACAGCAACAGTCCTGGCTCTGCGCGCCACGAAAGCAATGGCACAGGCGATCGGCAAGACCATGGCCAGTTTGGTGGTGCTGCAGCAGAAGACGTTGCAGGCGCTGCATCACTTCCTCCCCAAGCGCCCTGGCCCCGTGGCTGCGGGCTGCCCGAAGAATCCCGCTACTCATCCTGCAAAGCCAGCGCAGCCTCAGCCTCAATGGAAATCTGAGCCTGGGCTGCAGCAGTGCCCCCAGACGGCGAAATGCTTCCCCTTTCCGAAGCGTCAAGGTCCCCGCCCATGAGTTGTGCTGGACTTGTGCTGAGCCGCCTATGCAGTCCTGATGCGCTAGAGAGGAAGAGGAGGGGCTCTGTTCTCGCCTCAGACGGAACGCCCCTCAAAACAGCCCGCTTTCATCCTACATCCCTCCAAGCACCTCTGAGCAATGGAGTTTTGTTGCCAGCGGGTCACGTACAATAGCGGACCCACATACAATAAAGTGCAAATTTCCTCTTCACACTCTCTCACACACTCATGTGAATGCAAGTTCCCTGCCTTCTCTCGGCGAGCTCTCGTTCGCAAAAATAAACCCTCTTGCCTCCCATTTCACGACTTGGGCAGCCATTCCGGGAGTGTCGAGTTGGGTTTTAAAAGCAATTCAGCAAAGTTACTCGCTTCAGTTTGCTCGCAGGCCACCTCGCTTCAGAGGCGTTATTCAAACTTCTTTTCCGGACAACGAAGCATTCGTTCTCCGACAAGAAGTGCAGACGTTGCTTGCAAAAGGCACTGTGGAAATAGTGCCCCCAGTGAACAGCGAGTCAGGCTTTTTCACCCGCTACTTCCTCGTTCCAAAGAGAGATGGCGGGCTCAGACCCATTCTGGATCTCAGACGTCTGAACCACTCACTTATGCACTGGTCGTTCAAGATGTTAACTATCAAACAGATCATCGCGCTCATTTGCCCCGAGGAGTGGTTTTTGACAGTGGATCTGAAAGATGCATACTTTCACATCCACATAGCCCCCTATTACAGACCTTTCTTGAGATTCACGTTCGAGGGAGTGGCCTATCAATATACAGTCCTTCCGTTTTGACTGTCTCTGGCCCCGCGCACTTTCACGAAATGCATAGATGCGGCTCTTTCCCCTCTGCTTCACATGTGGCCCCTTGAGTTTTGGCTCAAAGCCCGCATTCCACCCCACGCCTGGCGCGGTGTCCTGTCAGGGTAGACCACCGCTGTATCAAGGATGTGGCCCCCTGGACGACCTCTCGCCTGTTCCAAACAGGAACAAGGTTAGGCCTGACCTCCAGAAGGAAGGTAGTCACAACGGATGCGTCCAACTCGGGTTGGGGCACCCTGTTGGAGGGCAATCTGGCGTTCAGCTCCTGGTCAGCCTCGGAGCAACGCCTGCATATCAACTGCCTAGAAATATTGGTGGTTTTCTTAGCCCTGAAAACCTTCCTTCCAGCCTTAAAAGGGCACCACGTCTTGGTCCGGTCGGACAGCATGACGGTGGTGGCTTACATCAATCACCAAGGCGGTCTCAGGTCACACACTCTTTACAGGATGGCTCGTCGCCTCCTTTTTTTGGGCACAGAAAGAATTCCTCTCGTTAAGGGCGGTTCATGTGCTGGGCACATTAAACCTTGGCGCAGAAATGCTGTCCAGAGGCAAGGTAGCGCCGGGCAAATTGGCGCTACACCCTCAAACGGTTCAAGAGATCTGGTCAGTCTTCGGCAGGGCAGAGGTTGACCTCTTTGCCTCAGAAGACAACTCTCACTGCCCAACATACTTCTCGATACAGCGAGATGCTCTGGCCCACGACTGGCCCAGTGCTTGCCTATACGCATTTCCCCCAATCGCCCTGATCCCTCAGGTCGTCAAGCTGGTCAGGGAGACCAAGTGCTCTCTCCTCCTGGTGGCCCCGCTCTGGAGGAACCAGGCCTGGTTCCCAGAGCTAGTGCAGCTCTCAGCAGCAGCCCCGTGGCCCATTCCGCTGAGGAGGAACCTTCTCTCGCAGACGAAAGGCATGATTTGGCATCCCCGGC